CGTTGCTTCACTTGCGGGAAGGTACCCTACCTTGCAATTTCAAATTTCAGTTTTACAAATCCGTCACACACACTTTTCTTGATGGTCTCTCATTCTTCAAATCGTTAAGTTAATGCTCTGTTTTGCCCTAGTTATTTTTATTTTTCGTAATAGGGTTTGCAAATCGATCTCTGTAGTATCGATTTTTTTCGAACTTTGAATTGTATTTTTTTTCTCTTTTAGGTCATTGGAAACAAATGGGACACCTATCTTGATCTTCTCCAGGCGGATTACACTGAAGGGTGAGAGTAAAGAATACTTATATGAGCTATATATGTCTGTTCTATTCTATGTATATCAATGCGAACAAATCACTATCTATGTATGCGAGTTGTATAGTAATTGAATCTACACTCGTTGTTTTTTGTTAATTCGTTTTGGTGGAGATTATTTTAAGCTAAAATCTGATAATCAGAAAAGCAGAAGCTAAAGTCACCTTTTCCCAGTATCTAAAAAAATCAGTTTTTTTCAGCTAATTTAAGCTATTTCTACCTAGCTATAAGCAAAACTGTGCTAAGCCTTCGTTTGGGATGTGGGTCGCTTTTTGCTATTTTAGCTTGGGGTTAAATTCCTCGTTTGGGATGGTTTTTTTGGCTTTTTTTACCTTTGTGAGTGAGAAAATAAAATGATTATGGTTTAGATGTGACATTTTGTCTTATTGGCTTTTTAATCTATTTTGTGGCTAAAATAGCCAAAAAAGATTATCCCAAACATAGCCTAAACAGTCTGATACAAACTTCCAAATTAAATATGCTGCTTGTATAATCCCCACCAGACACTCATGACACGAGCAAAAGAATTGATTGTGGTGTTTTTTGGGGGGACTTGGGATTTGTTCTTGGCATGGTTACTAAAACCCACTTTGCATGTACTTTATTTTTGTTTTTTTTTTATTTATTTATTTATTTTCTGTGTGTGTGGATATGTTGATTGTGGGTGAACTGTGTAAATGCTTGTGTTTTGTGATGATTCTTTCTAGTTAATTTTTTCTTCATATTTTTGGCTCTCAATTGCAGAACAAAAGTTTATAAGCATTAAATTTCCTTGTGTTTTGTGATTAGCTGAAGCAGGAGACAATAGTGATGAAGAAACACTAGAATTACCCATCTTTGAAATGGTCACGATTAGCAGGGCAACTGACAAGTTTTGTGACACAAATAAAATTGGAGAAGGTGGTTTTGGGCCTATTTACAAGGTTAGTTTATTCCATTCCTACACTAGCTATTTTAATGGACAAATGGAATTCTTCACAAGGAAAAAATAAAAAAGCTATAAGCTTTCGCATGATGATCAAACTAAATCTTTATGTTGATTATCATAGGGTCTGCTATCAACTGGAAAGGAGATAGCTGTCAAACGGCTCTCAACTACCTCGAAACAAGGTCTTAATGAATTCAAAAGTGAAATGACTTTGATTGCCAAACTTCAATACCGTAATCTGGTTATGCTTTTGGGATGTTGCATCCATGGAGAAGAAAGAATGTTAATTTACGAGTACATGCCCAATGGAAGCTTGGATTCTCTCATTTTTGGTTTGCCCTCTTGACCTTCCTCATCTATGTATTGTTAGCTTGGAATTCATATTTGACCAATGGAACAGAAAAGTATGTTAATAGAAGAAGTTTGTCTCACTACAATAATGTAAGCAATCCTATATATCACCCCGCGTATTCTTGATCACTATTTTCTTAATAATTATTCATCAAACAATCAAATTGATTACGACTATCCAAGTAGGTGCTGAAATAGAATAGTGACAGAAAAACCAATGGCATATATTATTTTTGAAATAGAATAAATTTTAAAATCTTATAAATTAAAGAAAGCCTTAAGCCCCTGTATTCAAAGCAGGTGTAGAAAACACAAGAAGTAAATCACTTACATGGAGGAGACGCTTAGATATTATTGTTGGGATTGCTCAGGGGGTTCTTTATCTACATCGAGATTCAAGATTGAGAATTATTCATAGGGATCTCAAAGCCAGCAATGTCATATTGGATTGTGGGATGAATCCTAAAATTTCAGATTTTGGCGTAGCTAGGACTTTTGGAGGAGATCGATCTTCCGCAACAACAAGAAGAGTGGTTGGAACTTAGTAAGTGCAATTCTCTTTTTCCTTGTACAGACTCAGCTAAGAAGTCACTAGCTTTTTTAGTACATCTCTAAAGCTCATTTTGCACTCATTTCTAAATTGTTTGGTAATGGTATGCAGTGGTTACATGTCACCGGAATATGTAATTGATGGCCTCTTTTCAATAAAATCCGATGTCTTTAGCTTTGGAGTCATGATCTTAGAAATATTGAGTGGCAAAAGCAATAGGCGATTCCATCATCCAGACCATAATTTTTACCTTCTTGGGCATGTAAGTTCATTTAGTTTGTTTTGTTTTGTTTTATTTATATTTTTTATTTTTTATTTTTTAGTCAAAAACATCTGTCAGTTTCATATCATTTTCATTTTGTAAGAAAACAGTGTTCAAAAATTCAAACACAACCTTTTCTTGTTTCTTGAAAAATAGGTTGTTTTAAATATTTAAAAAAAAAAATAGTTTTCAAATTGAAAGAAAAGAAAAACACAATAAAACAATTATATTTGCCAATTATTGAATTTTGTTATGGCTATATTGAATCATTTTAGGCATGGACACTTTGGATAGAAGGGAAGGCGTGTGAGCTATTAGATCCACTGGTGGAGGGTTTATTTTCAATGTCAGAAGTACTAAGGTGCATACAGATTGGTCTTTTATGCGTGCAAAAATGCCCCAAAGATAGGCCAACTATGTCAACTGTGCTCTTAATGTTGATTACTGAGACTATAGTGCCGCCCCAACCCAACCAACTTGGCTTTTATACAGAGAGGAAATCTAGGCCTCGTTTGGGAAGCTATTTTAGTAAGTTATTTTAATTTTTAGCTATTTTAAGTAGGTTAAAATTTTTGTGTTTTGGAAGATGATTGGATTTTTTTGTGATTGGATGTGATGTTTGTGAAAGAAAAAGTGAAATGATAGCATCTTCTAGGAAAATTAGTACAATCACGTGTCTTAAAAGAAAAAAAAAATATGAAGTTTAATTTTAAAAATAAATAATTTATTTTTTAAAATAAACACGAACCGATCATATGGATATCAATGCTAGATAATCTTACTTATGTGACATGGATTATTTTTTTAATAGACATTACAAAATGAACGATTTAAATCATTAAAATACATCTATCATAAGGTCATCAACATGACCTCTCTAGTTAGATCCCCAAATTGAGGAGAATTCAGTGTGTTTGATTTCAATTTTCTGAATTTATTTTTTGAAAATTGAGTTTTTTTGTTTTTCATGTTTTTTTGTTTTTAGTACATATTTTAAAAATTTTAGGTAATTTTTTTTTTTACTTTTTTAGATGCACCTTACATATATGTATCTAAAAAGTAAAATATTTGTGAAAAAAATATTTCAAAAAATTAATAAATACATAAAAATATGAAAAATATACTGAATTTTTGTATTTTTGTATTTTTTTTGTATTTTTGCTATTTAGTGAATTTTTTAAAGATTTTTTTCACGAAAATTATACTTTTTAAGTGTATTTATGCTAGGTGTGTCTAAAAATTTTAAAAAAATTGCTTAAAATATTAAAAAAATTCAGTAAAAAAAATACAAAAAATAAAAAAGTAAAATTTTCTGAAAAATATTTTTAGAAAATCCAAACCAAACAAGTGATTGACTTTCCTATGGTGCCTAGGCTACAAATAAAATAACTAAAAAATTGTTATTAATTTTAAATACATATAATTTGAATTTTGTTTTTGTGTTCGTGTTTGCAACCACAAGTCTTATTGTAAGTTAGTCTTAATAAAATCGGCGCTAAAAATAATTTTTTGTAATGATTTTTTATATGCTAAAAATTAGCAATTAGTACTACTTTTTTTATCATGATTTTTTATAAACTGTCGTTAAAACTTACGATTAGTGATATTTTTTTATGACGAATTTTTTAAATTGTCTCTGAAAGTTAAAAATTAGCAACATTTTTTGTGATAATTTTTTAAACTGTCGCTAAAACTTATAATTAGTGATATTTTTTGTGACAAAAATTTTAAATTATTGCTGAAAATTAACAATTAGTGAATTTTTTTTAATAGTATTTGATGAAATACGCCATTAATTATCACTGGATCTATTGGACAATAAGTCCACCTATTAAGACTTACACGTAAATCTCCCATTATTGAATTAGTTCCATCTTTCATTTAAAAGAAGGGAAAATAAGCAATAAGCCCTATTTTGCTATTAACAGGTAAAGTTCTATCAAGTTTCAATATGGACAATTAAATCTTATTTTTCATAGTATATTTTTTAAAAGTTCATTGCTCCATCATGGTGGATGTTATCTCAATTTTATCCCTTATTTAATATGAACAACAATGTTATAAATATTTTTAATAAAATAATAATTTTTAATTGTACAAGTTATGATATTATATTAAAAAAAATCATAAATCACAATAAAAAAATTATCAATAAATTCAATTTTGTTTTGAAAATTATTATTGAGTTATATTAAATTTCAATATTAACAAATAAATCTTTTATTTTATTTTATAAATTGTTATAAAAAATTCAATTGTTCATGATAGTATATTTTATTTTAATTTTATCTTTTTCATTAAAATATGAACACAAAGTTTGATAAATAATTTTAATTTACTAGAAAATTTATAATTAAATTATTTTTAATTGTTCAAATTAAATTATTTTCCATAAACAAAACTATAAGTATAAGATTAATAATTTTTACAATTAAAATTTTAAATTTTAATTAAGTTAAAATTATTTATAAAATTGTTGTTCATATTAAATAAGAAAGGTAAAATTGGATAAGACACACCATTATGGAGCAATGAATATTTTGGGAATTTTTTCATCACAAATAAAATTTAATTATCCATATTATAACTTGATAAAATTCATTAATAATTAAAAACAAAATAAGACATTTTTTTTTGGTTTTTTTTAATAAATGATGATGAATTGCTAAACACACAACACATTATTTGAATCATCTCTAATCTCTCAACTACGGGCTGTCTAACCAATGCGTCAATATTGTCCTACTCAATTTTTTTAGTACTATGTATGTGTGTGAGTGATTTTCTGACCACACTGCCAACTTAGTATTCAGTTGGAGAGAACTAGCAGAATAGATGACACCTAACTGACCTGCAACAGAAAGAGAAGATCCCGACAGTGGTTCGTCCACCCAGGGGCACTCTGACGATCAAGTCAATATAATATCTCTCAAAGATAATCAATTGCTAAACTCACTGTTCTGAGTATAAATTGCGTACCTTAGACCTATCGGGGGTGTCTTTCTTTAATAGTTAACTTAATCATTGTCCCAACAGAAGCCTAGCTTTAATGGACTTTAGTTCAGTGCTTATCCATGACTCTTCTATAGATAGAGATAAACTCCCGAAGAGTTTTATCTTTATCCAGGCTGAGTCCCCTCATCATTCTAGGACTCTTGTGCCTTATCCGCTTACCTCGGATTCCGATATCTTCTGAGATAACCTCGACGTCATGACCAGGACACGTAGCACCTCGGCTGACACATCGGCGTCACCTTGGCCACGTGTTGGTACTTGAAAAATATATCCCCACAACTGCCCCCTAGGTTCTATTACCTCGACATTCTAAGGTGATGGAACCTATACCAGAACTTCCTGCCAATACATCGGTTTAAAGTCTCTCAGCCGAGAACATCATATAAGCTGACATGTCTTTTTAAGGTTTAAAGATTCCAAGATCTCCTTCACGCGTATGAGCTGTCATGCAAAATAACTCAACCGTTTCAGCCGTGCGTCTTCTTTTTACTAGATCGTACTCCGTACGTGCTTGTAAGTCGTCTCGCGCCTGTGTGCGCCGTCTGACGCATACGTTTTTTTAGGTACATTAATGACCTGTTTGCTACCCCTTTTGCGTTTTAACAAAAAATAATTCGTCTTTTCACTTTTTCACCTTTGTTCAAGCCCCCAGTTTTTCCTCTCTCTAGTTCTTTTCTTCAAAATCCGTCACTGTTCTATATTCTTCAAGCTCTGTTACCGCTGTTCACCTTTTTCGACGAGGCTCTTGCTGATATTCCCTGTTCGTCGTCGTCGCCTGATCTCGGCGAACTCGACATCGGCTTCTTTCTGCTGGTAAGTCACCGTTCCTTCTTGATTTTCAATTTTTTTTTTTTTTTTTTTTTTTTTTTTTTTTTTGTTGAACTCTACTGTTCTGCCTCTGTAATCTTGTTCATATCTTTGGTGTTTCATCTTGTATCTTGTTTTCCACCACATGTTTGTTCTGTGATTCTGTTTATGCCTCATTTATTCTCGAATACATACTGTTCACACATTTGTTGACTGTTGCCACTGTTCTTGACTTGTTACACCTATCTTGTGTTTCTTGGTGATCCTTCACTGTTCTTGACTCTGAATCGCATTACCTGTTTCTGTTTTCTTGTGACTTTTCCAGATTCGTGCCTTTGATTTTCGTTTTCATAGATCTAGGTTTGGGGATTTGTTTGTAGAACCCACGATTTTCAGGAGAAACTGAAACTATTTCCACAAATTCTTATCCAGCACATACTTAGGTTTTTGCCAAAGTCCTAATAACCCTTTCTTAAAGCTCCATTTTTCTGAAGTCCAGCTCTTCTAATTCAAGCCGTCGTTATGTGTATGTGGAAGCACAGGATAGATACCCCGAGCAAATTAGAGCACTTTAGGTAGGAGTTTGGCATCCCGGCCGACGTTCATCTGAGGTTGGCTGGGGAGGATGACTATATCATGCCCACAGTTGATTCCATGCCCCTTCCTGTTGTAGCTTTCATCGAGTGCGGACTTTGGCTCCCACTCAATATCCTTTTTCGTGAGATCATCTATTATTATAAGTTGAACCCAATGTAGCTTGCCATCAACTCTTACCAAGTCATTAATGGCATCATAGCCTTAGCCAAACAAGAAAACGTTAGGGTTACTTTAGCCGATATCCTGTGAAGCCCCTGAAATTTGTATTCACTTATAGACCCTAATGTTTGAATTATTTTCTTAAAGCCCCTCGGTTACTTGAGATCTAGTCGGTTAGCATTTTATTTTATTTCATCAAAACTGGAATTTTCCTAGCCAGATTAGGTTCCCTAACCTAATTTAATTCTACATGAGAAAGGTCCCAATACATCTATTCAACTCCAAGTCCTCACTCTTTATTTAAATTCAAAACTTACCCCAAAAACTAGTACTTGTACCTTTGTACCATGAGTACCATCAATCATGTAAGATATATATATATATATATACACCTTGAGGAGTGTGTCCTAGAGCCTAAAATTAATAAAATAATAGCCCCTTCACCCTTCCTTAGGGCCGGCCATTCTAGGAGGAAATGAGGATACAATTTTCTAAGTCTATCATCATGAAAATCTAGAAACTCATGAACCTAGCACCCTAGACCTAGGATGCTAATTCTAATACTAGTTACCTTCCAACTAAGAACCAACTAAATGATGCCTAATCCTATGATTTAACACCTTAATCACTTCTATTCCTTTAAACTTCAAGCAAAATCCTAATCTTTCCATTCATTTTCAACTAGTGGGTTTTTTTGTCCTTTTACATCAAAAATTGTCTATTTAATACCAACACCCCCCTAGCTTGGCAAGCACAAACAACACACTCACACACACATTCGGCTAGAGGAGAGGGAGGAGAGCAAGAGAAAGAATTCTAGAGAGGAAGAGGGAGGAAGAAGAGAGCCTTCTTGTGCAAAGCTTAGTAGGTAAACAACCTTCTCTTTCATTTTTCTTTTTTTAATACATGTTTCTAAGGGTTCTAAACAATGTTTTCAGATCTGTTATTAATGAGTTCTTATGTTAAAAATGCTAAGGGTTGAGTATTGATTCCATCTCTCTTGTATTTTCTCCATTTTGGCACAAAACCATCTTTTTCTATACCAATCTCTCAACTTTTCAAGGGCACTCTTTCAAGCAAATTTTCTGAATTAAATATATGTTATTTAGCATGTTTTCTTCACAAAATAAACGAAAATTTTCCCTTGGTGGAACCCTTTCCTCATAAAACTTCTTGTTTTGGGCATAGTACCTTGGAATCTGTTTTTTTTACCCACTTCCAGAAATTATAGAAAAATGTATAAAATTATTCCGGACCTCTATTTTATGTCAAAACCTTCCTTAAGGTGTTAGCTTTCAAATAAAATTGGTTTCATCGAAAAACATTAAGCGGTTTGCAAGAAAATCAAATTTTCGTAACGGTCGGCGGATCTGGACAGAATCTGGACAGCGCTGAAATATTTTTTGAATAACTTGGAATCTGGAAAAGCAATCCCATTTTCAAAAAGTGTTCTAGAAACTAGATCAAATTCCCTATGAACCATAGGAAGACCAAGTCCGGGGAAGGATCTAAAATAGGCCTTTCATTTTAATCTTTATGCGATACTAAATCTGGAAATTTTGTTATGTGTGGATGTTTTATACCCTTGAGTTCATGAGATTGCTTATTAGCTTATGATAATATCTTGGCATGATGTTATATGTATTGTGATTATGTTATTTACCTTTCTCATCTTAAGAATGCATGCTTATATGGATATTATTGTCTTATAAGTTGAACTAACCTTGTTTTAAAACATTTAATTCAACGGGAAACCTAATAGGGAGGGTATTGGGTTTTCGAACACTTGAGTAATGAAAGGATGAGAATATGTGATATTTGGATTATTGGGATGCGTTCCCTATTTGAAAGTTAAAGTCTTGCGCAAGTGGTTTTCGGAACCCTTGAATGAAGCGGTTGTATTCGGACCCTAGGTGGTTTGGTGTGAGGAGGGATTTGGGCAAGACCCTATTTTATTGTCTCTTTTGAGGCCCTGCGGTTGGCGCTACGCGGTATATAACTGTTGGTAGGCATCCGAGGTTAGTTCTGCAACAAAGCAGCAAAAGAGGGGGCATACCGAATAATCTGCGTCCGATTCTTGTGGTTGGGAGGACGAAATCTCTTTGGGGGATTTCTAGTTTACTGACATCTAACTTAACCCTTTATTTATTTATTTGAGTATCATGCTTTACTACTTGATGTTATAATTATGATTGTGTATTGGACTGGGAAAAAGGGGTGGGGTGTGTGTGTGTTTACTGGGCATTCAAAGCTCACGGCGTATCATGCCAGGTGACGAAGCGGAACTTATAACGGGAGACGACGAGCCGGAAACCTTCGAAGACTTTTGGCTATCTTAGGAAGGCTAGAAATTTCCTTTTGTTGTTTTGTAAGACTCGTGTGAAGATTTAAACTCTCTTTTGGGATATAATATAATGGAACAAGCTTTTGAGATTAAGGGTATTCATGGTTGTTATGTACTTATACTTTAATATTTACATGTATGAACCTTATCGTTGCTTATGAGACCTTGTGTCAATACCTTTTAAGATCTGTCAAAAGGGTAGTGCGCTGCCTAAGAAAGCTGGACTTAGAAGAGAGGCTAATCTGACTCCTCCGGCGATCTAGGATCTTACTGGTTATTGACCATAGGACTCATTAGTGACTCTCCCTTGACTGCAACCAATGGTGTAGAATCGGGGCGTCACATATCCAGTATTGCTATACCATGTATGGCATCAAAAAAGACACGGGCTACGTTTACTACCTCAAGCCGAGATCCACAGAATACAAAATCATAGCCGACCTCCCAGACTCCAACAAGGGAGCTGGAGACGATTACTTCATTACCTCGGGAAACTGGGAGTTCGCTCCAGATGAGGACCTTCATTTCTACCCTCTTCCTTGATCAGTTTTTGTAGAGGGCAATGGTAAGAGCCCTGTGTTCATACTAACTTGTTTTTAAAGTCTTCAATACTTTGTTCGCTCTAATGTCTGTTTTTCTTGCAGCTCTTCCTAAGCCACCAAAGGGTTTCTGTCAGTCTTTCTTTCCTAGTAAAGACTTAAAGAAGTTACTGGATCTGCCAGTTCACAAACGAAAGGCCCCTCTTCTACTTAATTTCATTCCTACCTACAAGTCAGCTCTTCCCGATGTCCCCAAGAAGAAGAAGAAAATCCTTTCTTCGCCATCCGCTACAACTCCTCAAGTTGCCTTCTCATCTCGGGCAGATCAAGGATTGACCTCTGATCCAGCTGAGCAGCCGTCTACTTCGGCTTCATATCTGATCTCGATATCCCAGCGCCGTCGACGACGCCGAACAGTTTTTACTGCTGAAATGGGCCGCCAAAAAGCAGTTGCTAAGGATTTTTTGGCCAATATTCCTGATTCAGTTGATGCCCAATCAGCGCCAACCCAGCCAAAGCTGAAGACAAAAAGGATCAAGAAGGCTCAGCCAGAGGCAAAGGTGACTCAAATTGACACTGAAGATACTTTGTCAATCTCGAAATTAGCTTCGAGTGAGAGAACTACATCTGCTGCCGAGAAGAGGCCAGCCGATGCCCAACCATCTGAATCCCCAAAATCAAAGAAGCCGAGGTCATCCGCTATAACCATATCGGGGTCTCGAAAGCAGGATTCCCACTGGGCTCCCCAAATCACACTGGAGGATAAGCCAGTTAGGGCTAGCGACAGCGCTGATGACATTAATGTCGGCGTTGCCCTTAGTACTGCTCTGCTTCTTCCCGGTTATCTCCATCGAAACGCCGAGTTAAGTGAATATGAAAACTATGCTCTGATGCTCCAGCGCTCTGTCCAAGTAAGTGTCTTTATTTGGTCATTTTTATTTCTTTCTTGTACTTGGAAAATTTTCTAATAACTTTTGTCTTGTTCACTTTCAGGCCATCCAGCACGCTCATTCCTTCTCAACATAATCCTTTGAGAACTGAAAAGAACTGGCCGATAAGAAGAGAGAAGTTGCCAGTCTGCAAAAGGCCAACAAAAGCTTATAATCCAAGATGGAGACCTTGGAGGATCAAGCCGAGGCTGCTATCAAGGCCTAAATGGTCACCAAAGAAAAAGCAGAATCCGCATAGGCCATTAAGAAGGTTCTTGAGGTCGAAAAGAGAGAGGCCGAAGAAAAGATGACCCAGGTCCAGAAGGAACTTCAAGAAGCCCTGGCCACAAAAGAGGCCGAAGTCAAGGCCGCCGATGAGAAGGGCTATAACGAGGGGGTGGCCGATGTCACCTGCAGACTATAAAAAGCAGGTGAAGCAGGCCTGCAACAAGGGTTTCACCCTTGGTTGGATGTTTCTTCTAAAAAGGCTTGAAGTACCCGTGGACTCGCCCCTCAAGAATACCGACGTTATTCCCCTTCCATTCCCTTCAACTCCAAGTCAATTCGACGACGAATCCGAGTCTGAGGAGGAGACCTTGGTGAGGAAATCAAAGGAGGCTGCTAGGACCAAGCCCCCTTCGCTGAATGAGCAAGTCTTGGACTTGACTCAAGATGAGGAGGGTGAGGAAGTCCCCAAGGAAGCCACTCCTGAGAAGGCATCATCGGACGTGCCCCTTGTCGACAAGATCCTCGATCTAACCCTTCAAGAAATTGACACCGAGCTTACAGTTGAGAAGGCTACCGAGATCTCTTCTCAGCAGTCCTCCGAAGTCCAAACCCAGCCTGCTAATGATGCTGAATAATCTTAATTTTATGTTTTTCTCTTTCTTCTGTGCTTTGTACTTTTGTCTTTTTTTTGAAATAGTGCAAGCTCTTCATATGCCCGAAGTGCCTTCTTATAAATACAACTTCTTTGTTTTGAACGTTTGTATGTTTGCCTTCTCTTTACTACTCTTGTATGATTCCATACTTAGAATATTTGGCATATCTTTAATATACATTTTAATCTTGTGCAACCTTCTCGGGGTGACACACCTCGGTTATATAAACTGATGATTTACCTCGGCAAGTACCCAAGTATCTTGCTTGGTACAACCTTGGTTTCACTTGTAAATTTTTTCATAAAATTTCAACAAGTGTTTAACCTTGGTTTACCTTCAACTTGTAAACTTTTTAAGTTTCAATAAGTGTTAAACATAATCTCGGTTTAACTTCAACTTGTAAACTTTTCTCAAGTTTCAACAAGTGTTAAACATGATTTCGGTTTAACTTCAACTTATAAACTTTTCTTAAGTTTCAACAAGTGTTAAACATGATCTCGGTTTAACTTCAACTTGTAAACTTTTTAAGTTTCAACAAGTGTTAGAACCACTTTCCAACTCTATGTCCCCTAACGTGAACTTAAGTTCCACTTGGGTTCTCATTACGCATATATTCTAGAAACATCGGCGAGTATCTTATCAGTCATAAATATAGAAGAATTCTATTAAATTTTATTCATTACTTCGGCAAAAAACAAGGAAAATTTCATGATAGAAAAACTTCATATTACAAGTGTTCCAGGGTCTTGGCAACTCTTTACCCTCATTATCTTTAAGCTGATATGCCCCATCACCCAATACCGCAGTGATTCTGTAAGGTCCCTCCTAATTTGGGTCAAGCTTACTCTCTCTGGGATCCTTTTTGTTGCTGACAACTTTTCTCAAGACCAGGTCGTCGACTTGAAATTCCCTTGGGTTGACCTTCTTATTATAAGTCCTGGCAAGCTGCTGCTGGTACGTGTAGACGCGCCCGCGAGGGACCCCGCTACTACAGTTCGGACTCGATTTGTGTCACGGTTCTTAATCTGAACCAAAGAGTCCAAATCCAGTAAATCGTTTTGTGAAAACAGATTTTTTTGAAAGAAGTGCCAAACATGGACTGCTTTGCCAGATACAGAGTCGCCACCTAAATATTTTATTTTTGGGGAAATTTAGGAAACCCTGACTCGGTGCCAAAGGCCACGTGTCCGTCATCACCAAAGTTGCCTCGGCTCGGGAACTTGGGTACGATTAGGGAAGGTCAGCTATGAGCACCCCCTCTCGCCCGATCCGAAGATCAGCCTCTACTAACCATGATATCCGTTTTTGAAAACGTTATGTGTTCTAATTCTATTTATTAGCCTAGAATTACTATGTTATGCGCGCAGCAAACAAGTATAGACCAAATCGCCTAAATTGGAACAAAACATTGCATGTTCGTTTTGAAGATGGTTTGCTACTCGCAAGTAGGCTAAAATGTAAGTTTTGCCACCCTCGAATGGGCTTTTAGAAAAGATGGTTTTGCCATTTATCTAGTGGGCTTAAAACTCACAGTTTTAATGCGTTATCCCAGTTTAGGTAATTCAACCTCCATCCACAGGCACTCAAGCAATTATATCACATAAGCAACTAGCCTCATGGTAATCATGCAATTATGGCAACACTCACACGCATGTGGTATGCTAAAGCAAAAGGACTTACAGAGTACTCCAAGCCAAAACAGAAACTAGTTAGTAATCATAGGCATGATCCTAGTTCATGTTAAGATGGCTAATGTAACACATGCGGAATTTCACTAGAGTAGGCTCGGCTAGTCTATAAATGACATGTGAAAATACACAAGCAGCATGTATTCAAGTTAGATTTGAGATACTTATGCAGTTAGTATGATGCGTCGAGCATGGTGCATGCAATACTGATGAATGATGCACGCATGCATAGCATAAGGTATGCTAAAGTAAACATGTCCTAATACTAACCATCAAAAGCAAGTAAGTAAAAGGGAAAAAGAAGTGGGGGTTGAAAAACATGCACACACGCGCCCACACTTATTACAAATTCACCCTCGCTCGGAGGGACCAAAAGAATAATACAAATTAATTTACCTACAAGCTAATTAATTATTACAAACCAATTAATTAATTAACAAATTAACTAATCTAATGAAAGCAGTAAACGGCCTCGGGAAGAGGGCCCAATGCAATGCGCGCTCGGCTCCGCTCGGAAAGTCACTGCCATGCACAAGTTTGCCTCTGCTTTGACTGTTCTACTTCTCTGAAAATTGCACAACTTCCAAGGTTGCTTCTCTGAGTGTTGTGGGATACTACCGGCTGAGTGAGATCATCACCGACCATTTAGAATGGTCATCGGCTAAACATTATGCTCTCGGCCAGACCTGTTTTGCCGGTCGGCACCCAACACTGCCGGCCGGCCAATTCTTCCGGCTGAAACCTGTTTGACAGCAGCAGAGGGCAAAACATGGCATGGCAATGCATTTCAAGCAATGTTTGCACCAACCACACTCCTTATCATGTTTATGACTCAAAGGAGGATGGTGCTTGACCCTCGGACCACTAATCGTGCATTTCAATGCGTGATGGCCCAAGAAACTAAGTTGTGCATTTTGATTTCAAATGACATGCAAACCAATTAAACACATAAAGCCCAACCTCTATCATACTCGATTCAAGAGGCAAAGCATGCATGCTCTATGCAATGCAACCTAGGCATGGAGGCTAAGTATGCAACATGAACATGTGAATATGTATAGCATGCAACAATCATGCAAAATGGAGCAAGGATGTGACAATATGCAAGACAAGCATGCAACATCATGCAAAGATGGACTTAAACTAATATAGGTAGCTCTCAAGCATGCCAAAATCAGTGGCCAAAATGATATAACAAAGGAATGAAAACTCACACGCAAGCATGCATGCACAAAGGCCTAAATATGGAGCATAAGCTATCAACTCTCCAAAGCATGAAAAGGGATGAAAAATGCAAGTATGAAAGCATGGAACATGGACTGAAATATGGTCTCCAATGATGCCAAATCATGAGAACAAGCCAAGTAAAGCATGCTAGTGACACACACATCCAAGGCTAACAAGCTAGAATGCAAAGAGGCTATACAAAGCATGGCAAGCATGACCAAAATGACACCAAACAGAACTTAAACATGTTAAAACATGACTAAAAACTTTACAAAGCTAAGCCAAAACATGCAAGCATGGTGGTCCAAATGCAAGATGCCTTTCTAGGCAAAATAAAGGAATGCAAGGCAAGTGTAAGGTGCATGTAAGGGACCATTAAACCAAGCAAAAACAGTAACATGGTATGTCAAATAAGCCCCAAAGAACCATGGAAACAAGGCCCACACATGCTAGAATGGGGTGTTCCTTTGAAAGGCCAACAAGAGGGTTACTCTACACATGCAACAAGGACATTCAACAAGACCAAACCAACTCTGGAAATGGCTTGCGGGGGTCCTAAAACCCACTGAAAAATGCTTGAAACAAGGCTTGAAAGCATGCAAATAGGAGCCTCTTTGGAAGGCCAAAAAGGGCAACAAACAAGGCAACAAGGGAGAGGGTCACCCCTCTCCTTCTTAGGACCTTAAACCACCATCCTCACCACTGAAATCCCTCAAGATTTCAGTGGTGAGGAGGCCCAAACAAGGTGGTCCCGAAGCTCACCAAAAATAGCACAAAATGGGGCCAAACAAGGCCTAAGAGGGGGTAAACGACCCCAAATACAAAAGTGGCCTTAATGAAGTATCTTAAACACAAAAAAATAGAACTTTTTTATGTTATACACAAAGCCCAAATCCGCAAGAAAGACAGGCTAAAAACTTGTACAAAAACGGAGGATAAAAGAGGGTTAAAGGCTCACCCTTGTTGACCAACGAAACCAGCAGCTTCTTGGACAAAAAAACCAGTCTCTTAGCCTCTGAAAATGGCCTCCAAGCTCTTTAGGTTGATGATGGAGGTATTAGGCTAGGGGTTGGTGTGCAAAGGAGCCAAGAACCAAGCAATTTGGAGCCAAAATGGAGGAGATATGGAGAGAGATATATGTATGGAGCCTTAGACCAATTCTTGGAACCTCTTGAATGGAAGGATAGGCTCTATATTTATAGAGCAAGACAAGGTGCCAAGCTTCTTAGAGAAGCTAACAAAAAACGGGGTCAAGGGGGTCAAGCTTCCCTTAGAAGCTTGGAGCAAAAGGGCCAAGAAGGCCAAGCTT